TGAGCGAAACGGTATGGAAATAGAGAGAGAAGAACACAAAAAATATATAATTCGGTAGAACATGTCAAGCTGTATAAAATGGCCTATTGACCATCTTTTTTTTTTCTTTGATAGTTAGAAAATTTTCTTTCCTTAGCACGGCTCTCTAGAAAATACTTTTTTGTGTCGTGGTGTAAGACCCATAAGTCTGCACAAGTACAAGCTAGAGAGCTGGATTTTGTTGTGACAGTGGGGCAGTCAGATACTAATAACATATTAAAAAAATCGTCGGAATCGGTCAACGGAAAGAGGAGTTATTAAGAAAATACAGTCAAAATCCCAATTGTACCAAAATTTTGCAATTCATTCATATATATAGCACATCCTGATAATCCATATCAGTATAAGATCGAGCAATAGATAGATAATTGATATTCATAGATCTCGACAATCCCAGAATGAATGATATATTAAGAATAAAATTCGATTTGAATTTGAAGATTCTATGTGATGGAAAAGAACATGAACCATCTTTACTGCAGTTTATCAACGGTACAGATGAGACTGACTGTGAGAACTTTTGGTGTTTATCGTCACCTTCGACACGATGCAACGGTTACTGGGATTGTGCTGATGGTCATGATGAACTAAATTGTTCTCTCGATTCATTGCCTACTAATGCCAAGTCATCGAAGTTATTGCACACATTGAATGGTTGTGGTGCAATGGAGCACTTTTGTTTGCATGTTTCCAATCGCTCAGGAAATTCGTCGTACTCCTGTATTTCTCTTTCATATGTAGCGGATGGTCATGTCGATTGTTGGGGTGCAAGCGATGAACGTCATACTATCTGCGACTATAATAAACCTAGGATCTACACAAAAAGAGTATACCGTTGCGCTGGAGAACAACATTTATGTATACAAGTGAGGGAAATTTGTAGCGGATTCCATTATTGTCCAATGGGAGATGATGAAAAACTATGTGATTGGCTTCCGACGGATGCCAATGGCGAATTTTTTTACTGTCGCAATGGCACTCGTTTCCTACGAAGACGTGTTCAATGTAACGGCATATTAGATTGTGCAACTGGTGAAGACGAATGGTTTTGTGATTTGCAAATACACGGACAAATGATTACCAGCATATGTGAAAGTCAGTTCTCACCCTATCCTCTGTATCTGAAAAATATCAGTACACAATCGTTTCATCACATTCAAACGCGTGTTCTTGCATCATCACATGTGAAATCTGACTGGTACTGTAACCGTGGTATTTCCATTATTGATGTTTTATCACGCCGTTGCCTTTGTCCACCGTATTATTCAGGAGCACGTTGTGAAAATCAACGAGAACGAATCTCTATTATTTTGCAGATCATTTCACCACCATCATTCCAACGAGATACTGCAATAAAACTCATTTTATATCTCATCGATGTAATATCGCTCGAGATTTTAGCTGATGAAGAAGTTCTGCATTTTCCTTACATTCATTCTTTATACAAACACTTAGTCTTGTTACCCTCTTTACGAGCAAATCAAGCATTTGTTCGCATCGATGCATACGACGTAAATATGCAACGAGTTATTACCTATCGAACATCTTGGAAGTTTACTCTTCCTTTTCCATTTTTACCTGTACGTCGTTTAGCCATCAGACTCGCCTTGTCCGACTATAAAAACTTTCCTTTTCGAACCAGGTTTAATTGTCAGACATGCATTCATGGTCAATGTTTACCTTATCAAAATTTTGATGATGTATTTTGTCACTGTTACGATGGTTGGACTGGACCTGCTTGTAATGAATCTTTTCTTTGCGCATTTGGAGCTATATCTATTAGTTCATATCGATGTTTATGTCCTATGAATCGTCATGGCATCCGATGTTTCGCTCCAAATATCGCTTTATGTCAATGCCAAAATCAAGCTACTTGTATATCATTAGACGCTCGTACTGGACAAAGTGCATGTTTATGTTCAGACAAATATTTTGGTCAGCATTGTGAGCGACAGCATGCCAGTCTCACAATCAAAACATTCGACAAATATCAACCTGAAATATTGCCCGTCATTCTAATTCAATTCATTGGAAGCAGTTTATTCAATTATCCATATTTAGAAAACACAGTTTTATTTGAGCGTGTCTTGACTAGTCATGCTCTTGTCGTCTATGACAACGGTTACGAAACTCTACCACGTCTGGTACTTTGTAAAGTATTTTACAGCGCATCGATTGATGATTATGCATATTATATTGTTTTACACATACCTTATGGTATGTTCGATGGAAAATTTCTACTGCCACATGTTCAAACGCAACTAGAAACGAGTCAGAAGTGTTTGCACATACGAGAGATAGAAATTTTCAAGAAACCTGTTAATATCCTTTCGTATCCACATATAAAACGTATTAAATATTATCTTCGTGCGTGTATTGACAATGCTACACGTTGTTTTTATGACGAAATCTATCTTTGTTTTTGTCCTATGCGAGATGATGAAACAGCTAATTGTATTGTTCATGATCATACTCGAGAAAGCTGTCAAACGACTAATTACTGTCTTAATGGGGGTTTATGCATTGAAAATCGGCGTAAGACTACTTTTGAATTCGCTTGTCTATGTCCATCATGCCATTATTATGGTTCATTATGTCAATTCTCAATAGGACAACAAGGTCTCTCACTTGATGCATTAGTGGGTCTTGAAATGTATACAGGAGAAACTTTATCAAAACAATCTATACTAATTAAAGTGATCATGATTATTCTTATCAGCATGATTACTCTTGGATTCATTGGAAACATACTATCTATTATAACATTCGCGCAAAAAAACTCACGAGAAACTGGATGTGGATATTATTTATTTGCTATATCCATATATAATCAGTTAACATTGATAGTACTTGGTTTACGATTTGTATATCTTCTTGTGACACAAATGATAGTATGGAAAAATAAAGGTCGATCACTTATTCTATGTCAATGTCTTGAGTTCGGACTAACTCTCTTACCAAATCTCTCTAATTGGTTATCAGTATGTGTAAGTGTAGAACGGACGTTTACGGTAATATATGGCGTTTTATTCAATAAACAGTTAAGTGTACGTACTGCTAAAGGTCTCTGTATTGTCCTTCTAATTGTACTTACGGCTTTGACTGTTCATGAACCTTTGACTCGTCAACTTATCGAAGATCCTCGACTTGGTCGCTTCACCTGGTGTGTCACTAAAAGTAGTTCAACAAAACTGCAAACCTACAACTCAATTCTTTCATTTGTCCATCTACTCGGTTCTTTTCTTATCAACTTACTTTCAACAGGCATTCTCATTATGATTATTGCTCGGCAAAAATTAACCGTACGCAAAGAAACCATCCACCATTCGTTCACTACTACACTACGTCAACAAACTGCTTATTACAAACATTTAATAATTAGTCCAACAATATTGCTTATTCTTGCATTACCGCGTCTGATTATTTCACTTGTGTCAGTTTGTATTGATACATCATGGCGTAATTATGTATTTCTTGCTGGATACTTTATTTCATTTATACCATTCGCAGCAACACTTTTTATATTCATTATACCTGCACCAATCTATCGAGATGAATTGAAGCGATGTTTATCGCGTATACGTTCTCTTTCTTTTTACAAGTAATTTTAAAATACTATTGAGAAATTATAGAACATTGATAATTTTATTAGTTGATAATCATTATGTATTAAAAAACACTACAGAGATTTGTGTATGATGTTTATAAAGCGATTTGGAAGCATTCTGATGTGTTTGATTCATTCGACAATCTTTCTTAGTTTACATAGTCGTGGCGATCAGTATACAAAATGTTTTCTTATTGGTTACTGCATCCATTAAATACTGTCATAGTTATATTTATCTTCTGTTTCATGACCTTAGTGATTCTAAAATTCAACATGACACATACGTAAAAAAATAGGGAAAACTATAGATGTCTGTTGGTTAAATCAAGAGATTTAGAAGTTGGATGTGTGGGTGTGGGTGTGTGGTGTGGGTGTGGGTGTGGATGTGAATGGGTGTGAGTATGAGTGTCGGTGTGGGTGTCGGCGTGGGGTGTGAGTGTGGGTGTGGGGTGTGGATGTGGGTGTGCGTGTGTGGGTGTGGGTGTGGGTGTGAGTGTGGGTGTGGATGAATTGAAAAAACATATGCTACACCCACACCTACACCCTCACAACTATAAGTTCGACGAGGCAAGTTAAAACTAAAAAGGAAAACGCCAGTAAACTGCAAGTTATGCTGTCGAGAGGGAGTCTGATGTGTCCTTTTTCAGGAATATTAGGGTCAACTTCGGCTGAAAACAGTTCCGTTGGATTCGCCATAGTCGAAAACCTATACGAAAATTTGTTTCTAACCTTAAATTGTGGAAATTGGCGGGTCAATTTTTCGAAAAATCGGGTATTCTGTGGTAACCATATCTTCTCCAAAGTTCGACATAAAAAATTCGATCGGCCCCAATTCTGGTAGCTCTCGACAAGACGAATCTAACCATCAGAATAACATGTAGCTTCGCAATAGCTGCTGGTCCGATGGGACGTCCACAAGATCATGTGCACCCCCAAGGGTCGAAAAACTGAGCTCAAAAACTTGGGTTGGACACGGTTTTGTAGCGCTGAATTTCCTCTATCCATAACAGAAAACCACGCCTTTGCATCATGTACTAACCGAAGATTATTAAGAAAATGGCCTTCCGCCTTTTAAGTTGAAATGGATATTAGTCGTGGTAATTCTTCTATATAATACTCACCCTCAAAATTAGATTTAAATAGATCTACGTGTAGACGAAGTATGTGATTGATCTTTCTCTATTTATAAATATTAAAGAGTAGCATGACATGTGCGTGCAATCAGAAAATATAACGAAGATAAAAGAATGTGCACTAATTTTATTGAAACATAAAAATATACATGAGAATAAGAAAAGACAAAAAAGAAATGAACGGACGAGACGGACTAACCAATATACAGTTGTCTAGGGAATCATCAACATGAAGACATGACTGAAGAGATAAATGCTTGTGGCGGATAATTCCGCTATATGTGCAATTCAGATGCAAAAATTTGTACTTCAACTGAGAATATTCGAATGGACAAATGGATGTATCACTTTAATCTCACGAAATATTCATACGAATTGTTAGAATATTGTCAAACTTTTTTTTTCATAATCATATATTCATAATTGTCACCAGTATAGCAAACTTCACCTTGCGAAATATGTTTCACCAAGACCTGTATATGGATGAATTGCAACTTTATTGTACCGTTTTGAGAAGAAAATCGATGAAAAAAAAATTTCCGATTTTAGAGATTGGGAGTAGTGCATCTTACTACACTATATGAGAGATGGATATGAATAAATTTTCCCGACTACCACTGTTAAATTGAGTATAGATCGTGTATACGCATCTTTCACAGCAAATTTATTAACTCGTGAGGAATGTGTTAGAATTAGTTCGCGTGAGTAGTGATAGTCACTTAAACATGAAAGCGACTAATATGCCCTTTATTCACCTTAATCTCAGTTACTGGATAGTTATCCACATAAAAATCTCATCTGGCACTTTTTTGAAAAAATCTCGTGTGACCGTTTGCCAACAATCTCGTGTGACATTTTTACACTATTTTCCTCTCTATTATGCGAAAGGAGCATTTTCTAACCGTGATATCTTCAGCAATATCTGGCCACAACTAACAAATAAAATGATAAAAATTTCAGCTCAATATGCCTTAATTTACAAGAGTTAATACGACACACAAAGTATGAAATCTCGTGTGACATTTAGTGTGACAACTATATTTTCAAATTTTATTTAATGTCCCTTTCTTAATAAGAATAAGTAAAACTTTCGAATCATCTTTGGTAGTTTTATTCCCCACTGATAAGCTTTCATTCAAAACCAATCCGACAAATTTTGAATGCTTTGTTATATAGCAAAGGCGTTTTTAAATCTCGTGTGACACCATATTGACCATTGACGGTACACCTGATATTCGGAAAAAAGTATAACATAAACTGCGATGAAAGAACTAGCCAGTCTCATATCCATGATGTATACACTGTTCACTGTAAATGTCAAAAACTGTCAAAATTCAAATGACAAGAAACCAATTAGTGATGGGTCATTTTCTGTCCATAGGTGACAGTAGAAATCAGCCATTTTAACCTTGTGTATGCAGTATCTCGGGATAGGCTAATAATAAATTCGTGATTTTTTGTGTGGTAGTGAGCATCAACTACGGCAGCATACTCCGAAATTTTCATAGAGATTGGCCAAGAGGAACTGAAGTTATTAAAGTTTTACATATGGAACTACGAACGGTACAATAAAGTTGCAATTCATCCATATGTATTTAGAAATGCATAGAGGGATATTTTAGACGCAAACAATGATTTTATATAGAACAGACCAACATGAAAAATTATCAGAATTTTATATTGTTCCTTGAATAAATGAAATCGGAATCAAGATTTTGTCACATTCAAAATAAAAAATCATCACAAATCTTTGACACTATATATACGTGATGTTATTTTATTGCATTTTTTGATCTATTTGTTTTGAAAATTAAAAGTTCCTCTTAGTCAGGGTTGCCAGATCTTCTGAAATGGCAGGAAAGCTTCTGAATTTCAAAACTTTTTCTGATTTTTTTCTGACGTTCTGATTTTTCTGATTTTTCAGGTTTTTTCCGATTTTTCTGGTTTTACCATTTCGCTCCGATACTTGTCCAAATTCTATTTCTAAATGAAGACTTTTCTCAAATTTATTACGATCATAATTCATTAATAGAGTAGCTTAATACTGCGCCATCTTTTCTCTTTTTTATTCATAGGTTATTTCTGATATCTGCATATATCCAAGAGTATTTCAGGAAACATATGTTTAAGGTTTATTCAAGCTTGTTCGTATATCGAATGTTCGATAGATATCATATTTACGTTTATTTTTATGATCTCATTTTAGATTGAATAAATAAATAGTTAAATAATGGATAATCTGATGGATGATGTAAATATGTGTGTAGATAATAACAGTGAAGAAGAAGTTCAGATTGCAAAATCATCAAGTGTCTCGACATCAACATCGTGCCGAAAAATTAAAAAAAAAGGTGTTTTTCGTAGTGAGTGGTTGTCGAGAAAAGAATACTTGTCTTGGTTGCAGGAAGTGAAGTGTGATGCAACGAAAGGTCGATGTCGAGTTTGCTCTAAAACGTTTTCCGTATACAGTGATGGAAAATCAGCAGTCGACAAACATATGAATGGCAATAGCCATAAAACATCTATGAAAGTATTTCAAGAAAATTCTTCATTAACAGTATTCTTGGTTCCACAACATGAATCAGATACAATTTCAGCTGCTGAAGGCGTTTTTATCTATCATGGAGTCAAACATGGTCATAGTTACAATTCTCAGAAATGTACCATTAGTTTAGTTCGAAATTTGTTTGAATCTTCGTCGTCTGTGGCAAAATTAATGTCTTGTGGTAAGACTAAAGCAAGATCCATGACATGTAATGTGCTTGGTCCTTATTTCACAAGAAAACTTATTGATGATTTATCAAAAGCACAGTTTTATTCAATATCTGTCGATGCATCAAATAAAGGAAATCGTAAAATGTTCCCATTTGCTGTTCAATATTTTGCCGAAACAGGTGTTGCTCGAGGTAATTATTTTTTTTCATTTGAAATTGTATATTTTTTCTATACGCACATGAGTTTCCTTTGATTACTCAGGACTGGTTGAATTTATTGAAGATCCACATGAATCTGCCAATGATATCGTCAAAAATATATGCAAAATTATCAAAGATCATAATTTGAAAATTGAAAATCTAACTAGTTTAGGTGCTGATAATGCCAATGTTAATTTTGGTGAATACCACTCAGTGTTTAAACTATTAAAGGATTTACAACCTCGTCTACGAAAAGGTAAATATAAACATGTATTTTCCGAGTTTGTTTTTATACATCTCGATTTAAACTATGTATTCGTACTATTGTACTTTAGGAAATTGCTATGGTCATGTGCTTCATAATTCAGTAAAAACTGCTCACGATGATCTACCTATTGATATTGAAACTATTTTATGTAAAGCTTACTCGTATTTCTCGAGATCTGCAAAACGACTTGAAAGTTTGAAAGAATATTTTGAGTTTGTTCAAGTTGATTTTGACGTGAGTTATTCATTCTTAAACAGCTGAAAATTAGACGAACAATCTACAAAACTTTACATTTCTTCTCTTAAGGTCTTGTTGAAACATATTAGCACGAGGTGGTTGAGCTTGTTGCCCTCAATTGAACGTTTACTTGAAAAATTCGAACCGGTGAAGCAGTTTTTTTTAAATCAACCAACATCAACAAAAGCTCAACAAGTTTTAAATGCTTTCTTTCAAAACGATGAAGGTCTTTGTATCCTGAATTTTTTACAAAATGTGCTTACTGAAATCCAAAAGGCTGAATTACAATTACAACGTTCAAATACAACAGTAGTTGATCTTCATTTCATAATTACTAATCTAATCAATAAATTACGTCAAAAATTGGTCGATAAATTTTATGGTAATAAAACACGTTTAATCTTGAATCAATTAAAACAAATTGATCAAGCTAAAAATGAAGAAT